GCCCGCCCCGCCATCGATAAGAGTTCTGGTGACGGCCACCTGGCAGATGGTGGGGGTGCATAGCATGGGGAGCGCGCCCGAGCCGGCCGGGTTGGAGGGGTGGTCCTCCGGGCTGAAGCTTAGTCCGGTCTCGGGCGCCGCCCGCCCCAGGGGAGCCCCCTGCCGTGTGGAAGCGGCGCTGACCCAGTGGATGAACGGCTTGACTTGGTAACTTGTAGGCGGCACCTGCGAGCCGCCCAAGAGGGCCGCGACGATTAGGGGTGTTGGTGCAGCGCGATAGGCGGGGAAGAGGTTGCGGGGCTCCGTGGGTGCGCGGAGCACGCGGGATGAAGAACCAGCTGGGGTGAGAGAGTGAGCTGCGGTGCGGCCGTCTTGCCGCACGGACAGATGCCGGGACGATGCTTGCCGCTCGTCCCCCGCCGAGCCGGTGGTGGCGTTGACGGCGGGCGACGGGGAACGGCGATGATGCCCGCTGACAGGGGCTGTCTAGGCGACGCGTGAAGCGAGGGCGGCCCGGCGCTCCGCGCGGGCCCGACGTGCGTCAGACATGAGTGTGATGGTCGGAGGAGAGCGGAGCAGCGGAAGACGAATTCCGGCGCACCCCTACCTGGCGCGCCAAATGTCGGATTTCGGGTTCCGGCAGACCCTTGAGGTTCGAACACTGGGGTGCGCGCGGAGATTTCGCCTTCTACCTTCCTGCACCCCTCCGCCACGCTAGGATCAAAGCTATGAAAAGAACAACACAAGGGACACAGGGTTTATACTGGTTCGGGCCATCGTTGTGGTGTAATACCCTACTCCAGTGTGTGGTGTGGTGGATTGCCTCTTGGGCTGATGATGGTGAACAGTACAAGGAAGAACAGCCTCGCGGGGGTCTGTTCTTGGCTGGGGCGATGAACTGCTGGGAGGAGTTCAGCCACCTTTCTCTATCTCACTCCCTCTCTCTGCTTACCACCTCTCTACTTGTCAAGCCCTTGGAGGAGACTGGGCCGAACCCTTGCTACGTGGGTGGCCGGTCCTATTTATAGTGGCCCTGGTCCTCTCCCCAAATATTGAGCGGGAAGGGAGCCAACAATGGCGGGCTAATTTGAAAGGGGACAACAAGTATCAACTATCCTGACAAAAGTAGTCTTCGCCTGCGCAAAGCTCTGGTGATGACGCCGTCTTGGGCTCCATGGTGACCTCCATCTCGTAGCCCTCCTGGTCTTGGTCTCGTTGCACCGAAATGGCAACCTTTACTTGATGCCTCGGTACTCCGCGGCTGCGCTTGCCCCCTTTGCACCAAAGAGGAAAGGAGGACGCTGCGCGGGCTGGCACCCGCCTGGCGCCCTAAGTCGTCATGGCTTGCGTCACGGGCACCTCGCGAGGTACCCCGCCTTGATCTCTCCGCCTCCTCGTGAGCCAGCCTGACGAGGCCGTGCCTGAGGAAGCTCCGTGTCGTCCGCTCCGCGAGGCTTGGCCCCTCGCGAGGGTCTTGAGTTTGTGTTGGTGAAGGTGGGCCGTGCTGGGCCTCCCTTTAAGCCACGCCGTAGGCCGCAGGCAGGCAAGTCTGGAGACCCCCGTTCCCAGAACGCCGACAATGTATATGATCTTTCCTTCCCTCTACGTTGTCGAGCGTTCTTAATTCTCGAGGCCGATGCTTGGGCTGCGTCACTGGGTCGCGACGATGCTGGAGGACGAGGACGGCGAGGCCGGGTGCCGCGGCACCGCGTTGGCCGCGGCCGGTGAAGAGGGCAAAGAAGGGCGGCTTCCCTGGCCCTGGCCATGGCCGTGGCCCTGGGAGTTGGTGCGGTGGAAGTGGCACTTGAAGGACACGGTGTGGGTGGCCGACGCGCAGACGCGCTTGGAAGCGGGCCTGTGGCCCGTGCTGGACGGCACCGACGCCGACCCGGGCCACCTCCTCCGCGTATTCTTGGAGCTGTGGCTGGCCGATTTACATGGAATTAATTCCCTCAGTTGTGGTGGCAAAAATAATACACATAATCCATATTGTTATATACTAGCGTGTGTGTGTGTGAAATAGATGGATTATGGCCCCGTACCCAATAAGATGGATATGTGTGTGTGTTAGAGAGAGAGGGAGAGGGGGAGAGAGAGTGAGGAAGAGGGAGGTAGAGAGTGTGTGTGTGAGGAATTGATGGTAAAAAAGATCGTCAATGTCACTTGATATGTATGAGAATATTAATATTGAACTTTTAAAGATAATGTGGCCCCGTTGCCACGCACGGGTGTTCTTCTAGTCTTTTTTAAATCTCACTCTTGTTTGAGACTGTAAAGGTATTGACAAACCCTTTTCGTGTTGAGTGCAAGTGTTTGTTAGATTGTGCAGGTGCATAGATTGGAGACTTGCTTGTGCCTCCTACTGAATTGATACATTGATTTTTAACTGAGAAAAATATTTATCTCTACTTTGCTGCATCACTCTTTCCTTTTTGAAAAAAATCAACATAATCTCAAGAAGTAGCAGCTACAAAGTGCTTGTGACAAATGAGAAGTGGACTCAAAGACTTGCTGAAGCCACTCCAAAAAATGAAGATTGAGCATACTCGTTGAAGACGATGACAAAGAGGACAAAGATACCAACTTCGCGAAGGATTTTTTTACTTCACTAACTTTAGAGATCGGCTAGGTCCGGTCATTATTAGTGGAGTAAATTTTTACTCCACTAATTTTACTCGGGAGTTTACTCCTCTATTTTTAAGGGATAGGTTAGAAATGCCCTTGGTTTCTTTTTCTTCATTACTCCCTCCGTCTCTTACAACTTTATGTAAGATGTATTATTTTTGGCACGGTGATCAAGACATAAAATTATAGACAATTTTGAACAAAATTATCCTTGGCATATACTCCCTGAGGATGCATCTAGACGTATTTTAGTTCTAGATACGTCTCCTTTTATCCATTTTGATGACAAGTATTTTCGGACGGAGGGAATAGTTGTTAGTGACAAGTAAATCAGTTAGTCCAGGAAATAAAGAGATACGCACAATCAAGAGAAATACTTTCCTTCTTTTTGAGACAAGAAGAGATACATGCAACAGGAGAAAGATACTTTCTTTTTTTAAGGGATAAATAAAAACGAAACTAGGAAGAATTAGAACAACTGCATCTTAAATTACGAAATTTAATCAAAAAACAAATATACCTTATATTATACTACTACAAAGGAACGGAGGAAAGAGTATGTCTAAATTTATTGCTCCTTCGCAATGCACGGACGTTATCATTAGTTAAAATCCGATATAAATCTGGGTACCGATCCTTGCCTAAAATCTCGGTGCCAAGTGGGACGGCAGTTTCCGAGTCCACCTCGACGCCGCCGCCGTCGCAAACCATAAAAAACACCCCCCACTACCCACCCCAGGTCCCCAAACACCACCTCTCCGGTCTCCGACGGAGAGACGCAGGGGTTAGCAGGGGGTTGTCGGGGGCGGCGATGGGGGAGTACGCGGCGGCCAAGACGGCGGTGTGGTGGGATATCGAGAACTGCGCCGTCCCCCGCAACTGCGACCCCCACCTCATCGTCCAGAACATGAGCTCCGCCCTCGCCACCGCCGGCTACGTCGGCCCCATCTCCGTCTCCGCCTACGGCGACACCAGCGGTATCGCCCACAACGTCCAGCACGCCCTCTCCAGCACCGGCGTCTCCCTCC